CTTGGCACATCCTTCTTCCAGAATTCATGGCCCAGGATGACAACCTTAACCCCTTACTCTCCTTCAAAGCTCTTGTTAAATTGCTAAACTGCCTAGCCTGGGCTTGAACTTGCCAACTTCCTTCCTCAGCCCCAAAACTGTCCCCAGAGTGTTGGGATTACAGGTATCCTCCACCTTTCCTGGCTCACTCTCATTTACTTTTTTTCTTTGAACTTATTACTGTCTGATAGAATAAACATGCTATGTCTCTGCTTGTTTGATTTCTCGTATTTAATTTTTCCGTCTTAGTTACTGTTTAATCCTGGAGACACAATGCCCATCACCTACGACTCTAAGATGAGAAGTTTATTTTGTAGAGGTTTCAGTACAGAGTTGGCTGGTTCCAAATCAGGGCAGCATGGCAGAGGAGACTGGCAAAGAGCATGGCATGGTAGTGGGAAGCAGACTGTGGTGCAGGGAGGACCGAGGGAGAGGAACCCTTCCAGGCCACGTTCCCAGTGACACCCCCTCTGACCAGGCTTCACTTCCCAACATCACACTGAGCTATAAACTCATCAGTGGCCTAGTCCTTTGATGAGTATCACACACCCATGACCCAGTCACCTCCCCAAGCCCCACCATGAGTCACGATGTTTTGGGGAGACATTTATATATAAACCATAGCATTTTCCTTTATGTACTGATAATAAGCCTATTATAATGCTTGTAAAGTTCCAGGCATTTGGCCTAAATAGCTGTTTTTTTATATATTTAAACTGAATTACTTCTCACACCACCACTTTTGTGTGTCATAACCTTGTCCAACAAATTACTGCTGCAGAGCAAACCTCACCTCTCCTCAACCTCCTCCTTATAATCTTCACACTGGTGAAATGATCCCTTTCAAGTGACTCAAGAATGCCACCAAAGCCTAGCACCCCACAGGGGCCCAATATTCCCAACCCCCTCATTATGATCCTTAGACAGTTTTAGGCCTTTCAGGATGTACTAGAAGTGGAGCTTCCTACTCCTGTCATTCAACTCATCCTGCACCTAAGAGAGGTCCCAGGAGTACAGGGGGCTACTTGAGTCCAGGTATCTTTTCCAGTGGAAGATATCCAACCAAGAAAAGAATGGCTAGGCCAACTTTTAGAATATCTTAGTAGGTTTGAGGATGGTTTTCAAACTTTGGCTCTTACTTTTGACCTATCATACAAGGTGTTTTATTAATCTTGGCCATTTGCTGAACCTCAGATGAAAAACAAGAAAATCCTAGAGGAGTCTGGGAGCTATTTGGAACAATGTATTATAAGAAGATAAGGAAACCAACCCAGAAAAGTTGTTAGCCAACAGAACCTACTGGGACTATAATACTAGAAATTGAGTAAAAATGATGTCTAACATGAAAAGTCAATGCAGACATGGGCAATGAAATGAAAAGATGCATTATGAAATCTGTTAATTATGACAAGGTGAGTAGGGTTATACAGGGTAAAGAGGAGGATCCAGCTGTCTTTTCATAGCCAATTAGTAGAAACACTTTGTAAATATACAAATTTAGATCCATCTTTCAGGGAAGGACAGGCACTGATGGTACATCATTTCATTTGTCAATCACTCCCACATACTCAGCACCAATTACAGAATTTCAGATGGGTCCCCAGATGCCTGACGCAGCTGCAGGGCATGGTCTTTTCTGTTTTTAACCATCATGACCCAGATGAGAGTGATAAAAGGCAGGCCCAAAGTATAACTGTCACAATCGACAGTCCCTTAAGCACACCTAAGTTGTGCAAGGGAAAACTCAGGGCCAATCAAAGTCTGCATTGAATGCAACAATACCAGACACTGGGCACCTGACTATTCCAACCCTCTGCCTGGGCCCTGCTCCCCCTGGTAGGCAGCTGATATTTCTGCATCATGGCACTGGAGGATTAACTGTCTCTGTTCCCATAGCCAAAACCCTCACTTCTCACTCTGAAAAAGAGGACCAAAAGGTCCTGGGGTAACCTGCAATGCCCCTGTCCACAGACACATATAAACCACAGGTGACCCTGGACAACTCGAGTAAACATATTCAATTATTCTATATTAACTTCCTCTAGCAAACCCTCCTCTACATTGATAGCCATTATTGAGGTTGAGGTGACCCCTAGTCAGCACTGCTTTACCCCTATCTTAACATGTCAATTTGAAAGTCGTATGTCATAAATATGCCTTCCTGGTGCTATCACAGTCTGGAAGAAAAAATAGATTTGAAAACTACAACTCCTATAGGTAGTCTTTTTTCCAGGGAAGGTTACTGTCATTTAGTGCAAGAGACACCAAAGAAACATGTCTGAAGTCTCTATAGGAAAGCAAAAGGTTGACAGAGAGGCAAGAAGGGCAGCTCTGCAGCTCCTCAAGGCCCTAACCTTATTTCTAATTCCTGAAAAAGCATTCTAATCCTTCCTCAAGGGACACAGTGACAAGCCATATAAACCCTACATAAGAAATGGTCATTTGAATTTCCATAGGACCAAGACTTTCCTCCTATGAATTCTGGAAGATGTGAGACTCCTCTTCAAAAACCAAGGCTGCAGTTCTGTTTTGAGTACAGATAAGTGGAGTCATTACAAACGGGCATCGGTAGCCTATCTACTTATCCCTCTTTTTCTCTCAGGTTCCTGTCAGGCTCATCAGGTTCGCCGGTAAATAGGTAGCTCAGTAGTCCACATATAGACAGTAACTCCTTTCTCATCATCTTCTGACAGGTTTTCTGCAGCCTATCTGGTGGGTCATCTCATTTTAAGGTAGTTAGAGAGAACATGAACCCTAGTAGGTAGGGCCTATAGTCCCTTTCAGTAGGAAGTAGCTTTGTGAGGTTGGAGACCCTGACTCCCTCAGAAACCCATAAAGAATCATGGGGAGTTATGTCTCTTAAGGGGAAGTGAGGAAAGAGACTAGGACATAGCAGAGTGTGTCTGAAGCAATTAGGCATGATCTGTCCACCACAGAGATTGTTAATCATAGAATTCAGGGCACATGTGAAGAACAAGCTTCTGAGTGCTGTGTCTAATACGTAAATCAGAGAATGATGTCTTCAATTCTTCTAAAACGAGATCAAACCCAGTCGTGCATATAATACCAATCCTTAGTTTTTTGTTTTTTTGTTTTTTTTTAATGGGATGGACTAAAGCTGATATCAGAATGAGGCTATAGAAGATGCTGGCCATTAAGCTCGTGGCTGCAGTGAGTTTTTTCACCAGCCTGACTTGTCCTCTTGCAGAATATACTTCTTTTCCTACTCTAATTGCCCACAGGAGGGCTGGCGAGATAACTCAGCGGACTACGCGCTTGCTTAGGTAAGCGCAGGGGACAGGGTTCGATCCCTGGCACCGTATACCTTGCAAGCCCCGCCCCCAGGCACTCTGAGCCAGCATTGGAGTCCGGGTGTGGTGGCGCACACCTGTAATCCCAGCACCAGGGAGGCTGAAAACAGGAGGATCGCTAGGAGTCTGAGCTGTGTAGTTAGACTACCACACACACACACAAATTGTCCACACTCATGCAGAGCACTTTTCTTCGCATCTTCAGTATAGATCATATCGTCCAGTAGAACAATAATGAACACTGTACCTAACCTGGCACTCTTATACCTGCAGTGTCTTTCTGTAGTGGAACCCACTTCACTATTCTGTTGGTTTTCTCATTACTGTGTTGAGTACACCTTCGATATGTGTTTATTCTGTATTTTGAGTTACATATTTAACTTTTTGAAAATTGTGTTTTCTTTGTTTTTTGGTGGAACCGGGGATTGAACTCAGGCTCTCGCGCTTGCCAGGCAAGCACTTATTCTACTGAACCATCTCCCCAGCCCCAGAAAATTGTGTTCTAATATTAGCACTATTTAAATGTTTTCATATGTTGTTGCATATGAAAGTGGGTATTCACTTCCCGCTTAATTCCTTGCACATTTCTATTTCTTTAAACCAGAGGATGCAAAACTGGAGCACAGGGATAGTGAGATTAAGAAGGTACTGCGAGCCTCTGTACCAGCCTCCGGACTACACAAAACAGGTCTGGAAACCTTGAACCCAATGTGAAGACTTTCCAGGGTCTGTATTATTTCAAGCTTCTCATCATATAACTGGAAAACTTAGATTTTTATGAGAGATTATTAATATCCTGAAAAACTTATTGAAGTCCTAAATAAACCTTGTTACAAATATACACATCAGCAATAAATTAGTGTACAAACTACCGATGCCCGCTCCTCTTCAGTAGCTCCGATGGGAGGGGTTGGTTGGGCTTGAAGTCCTTAACTTGAACAGGTAACAGAGAACGACTACAAAAAAATTTTGTTGAACGCCTCCCCACCAAAAAAAATCTGGCTACTTTAATAATGGGAATTCCACCCTCGGTCTCAATATGTCAATGATCTCTCATTTCAGAATCATAAAGACTTCAATGTGAGGCTTTTTTCACTTGAACTTTTTATTCTTGAATAATTTTAGAGATTTTTCCGGACCTGCTGGAGTTTCTAAGAAGTATTCTGCGTTCTGCATTCTCTTTTCGGGAGATGGGGGTGAATTAACACTCCAGCGTCGGGTTGAGGATGGGAATTTAGAATACATCGACTTTGGCTTTTCACAGCTCAGAAAGCTGAAGCGAGGGTTGGCTCTTTTCTGGTAATACTTGGGCAGTCTTGGGCAAAGGGAATACAAGCCCTCAACTTATAGGAGTTCCTCATTTTCCAGCTACTTTACTTTGTGGCTCAGTCCCTCGCCCATAAATTACAGACTGAGCCCTTAGAGCCTGGGCTGTCTAGGGATGACACGAACTGGTGGAAATGAAGGACTTCACACAGAGCCCCACACCAAAGTCCACGGAGAGCAGCCAGCTGGTCCCGGGCCGGCCCCGGGGAGCCCCCAAGACTAGCGGCGGGCGGTCCCCCTGAGCTGCGGAGGGCCAGGTGGCCTCGCCCTCTCTCCGCCCAGCGGCCGGGGCGGGGCGGGACGCGTCCCCGGGGCAACGGACGCGCTGGGGCGCTGCCTGGGCTGCGGCGGCTGCGCTCGCCCCTTACAGCCGGCGCGCGAGGGTCTCCTCGCACGGATCGATGGCAGCCCTGATGGCAACCCCGGAGGTGCGGAGCTCCCGGGAAGGCCCCGCTCTGCGCCTCCCTCCGGGGGCCCGCCTGGAGGAGGCCGAGGCCGAGGAGGGGGAGGAGGACGAGGACGAGGACGAGGATGAGGCGGCGGCGGCGGCGCGCAGAGCGCGGATCTTCGCCCGGGACGCGCGGGTGCGCTTCCTGGGAGGCCGCCTGCAGCAGATGCTGGGGCTCCCCGAGGAGGGCTGGGCCCGGTTCCTGGAGAGCGAGGACGCCCGGCGGGAGCTGCGCGAGTTTCTGGAGCGCCGCAGCCCCTCCTGCCTGGTGTTCGGCGTCGCGGGCGCGGGGCAGCTCGCGGCCTCCCGGGAGGTGAGCGGCGGAGCGCGGGGGTTCGCTCGGGGCAGCCAGGGCTGGTGGATTCCGCGCCTCCCATGTGGAGCCACTTTGCAGGCGCACGTCGTGGGTTAGTTTCGTGCAAAGTCTGCCTCCTTAATGCCCTAGCAGCCCGGTGAGCTTGTGGGACCAGGGCTTGGGGAAAACCACCGCTTCCTTCCGCTACCTGGGCGTTAGGTGCAGGGTAGGTTTTCTGTGCCAGACAACCTCCGGTTCGGTTGCTCACCGGACACTGCGTACTCTCATTTTCCCTGTCCCCGTAGTACTGGAGGTTGAATCCAGAGCATTCGCGCTGGGCAACATTCCCAGCCCCTTTTTAAAAATTTTAATATTTCAAAAAGTTCTCCAGGCTGGGCTTGAACTTGGGATCCTCCTGCCTCAACCTCCCAGAGTGCTGGAATTACAGGCGTGCACCCTCACGTCGGGTTTAAGAGTTCAAGCCTTAAGAAAAACTGGTGTTTGACAGAGTGATATTACTTATGTATTCAGTCCGCCTATCTGTACCACACTTAATCCTGAGGAGCAATACTGGGTTCTTAAATGGGAGTAACCAGGTAACATATTTGGTGATTGCCACCTATTGTGATTGTGGGGGTGGGGAACCCTTCATCTTCTCACATCCCTCACTTTTTTGTCTTTCCTTTTTCCTTTTTGCATTTGGATTGCTTGTCTAAAAGTTTATCACGTTACCTGCAAGGCAGCATTTGTATTTTGCATTTTTCATGTGTGAAGAATTTGGAGTAAGATTTGGGTTCTTTAGGAGTGGTGCCCCATGAATCAATGTAAAATACCCTCCCAGGTGTGGCCAGTAATGCCTGAGAAGCCAGCTATCAGAACAGGCTGAAACAGGATTGTTGCCTGGGTTTTGTGAGCTTAGAAAATCTTTGCTTCCACACTCCTTGTAACAGTTTTTAAAAAGTTGCCATAAAATAGAACTCTTTAGTATTATTAAAATAATATGTATAGAAGTGATTCAGTAGTTGGGAAATGTCATAATTGAAGACAAAAGTCCAAATTAACCTCTAGCACACTGTCAGTTTAGCTTATTTCCAAACAAGAGAATATTATTTAAATATTTTTTTAACGATTGAAACATTCTACCCGGTCTTTGTTTTTAACTGAGAGTCTTACAGTATGTTGTGGCCACAGTATAATGGCTATGATATATCATAATTGATATTGCTGTGAAATTAACATTATAAAAGGATTGTAGGACATTGTAGGACAGGGACAGCAGGAGAACCACCTTGCTTGTTCAAGGTGGACAGGAGGCCAGTTCTGTTTCTTCTGTTTGCAATGTCGCTACAAGGGGTACTGAGCAAAGCTTGCCTTTTTTTTTTTTTTTTTTTTTTTTTTCAGTACCAGTGATTAAACTCAGGACCTTGTGCTTGCCAGGCAGGCACTTACACACTAATGAGCTACATCCCTAGCCCCAAACTTTTTTGTTAAACCTTGTAGTGAATTTGAACTAATTAGTGTGCTCTTATTTCAGATTCCAAGGGATGCAAGACATAAACTTGTTTATGTTGCCAAGAAGATTACTGAAAGCACTGGAATGAATAATTTATCTCAAAAGATGTTATTTGAAGAGATACCTGCGTCCTCTCTGAGACATGTGACTGCTTTCCTGGATGAGGTACTGGCCTTCCTTTAGCATTTGAATCTTTTATGGATCTCCGTGGCTCCTGGAATTATGTGGGACATTGCTGGCTGCTTAAAGAGGATAATGGCTTAAAGGAAGCCAGCATTGTCATTAGCTGTGTGTATGACAGTGGCCATGTTTAGACTTTCCGAAATGAGCTGGTACTGACACCTGATACTCAGCAGGTGGGAACTTGTCCAGTCTTTCCTTGCTCCCTCCCTCCCTTCCCTTCCTTCTTCCAAAATACTGGGGTGAAAGCAAAACCTGCTGGAACCGGTGAGGTTTATGTACTTAGTTGTAGGTTTTAAACTTCAAATTCAGAGTGGGTCAAGTTGGTACTTTGGAAATGGGTATTTGTTCATTTTTTAGATTCCTTTAGAAACTAATGGTTAAGGACTTCCTTTCAACTATGTCAGACAATGGGAAAATGTCATGGAAATTGTTAGGCATGCTTGTCTTAAAGTTCTTTTCACCTTTGCTGCCACTAGGATCTGGAATGTCCTCCCCCAAAGGCTTGCGCACTTAAGGCTTGGTGTCCTCAGCTTGGTGCTGTGGAGAATCAGTGGAGCCTGGTGGAAGGAAGTCAGGTCCTTGAGGGGGAGCCCTTGTCGGGCACAGGACCCAGCCCCTTTGCATTTGCTTCCTGGCCTGCAGGAGCTGAGCAGCTTCCTTGGTCTCCTTCGACCGAGATGATGGGCTGCCTCATATCAGGCTCAGAAGTGAGAGTTTCCAGCTTACCATGGGCTGAAGCCTCTGAAACTGAGCCCAAATCAACCTGTCCTCCCATAAGGCTGTTTTGCTTATAGGAGTAGCACAAAGCCCACACTCCTTTAAATCAGAGAATCACTGTCTAAAGCAAAGCCATGTTGGTGTGCGGAAGGACCACTGAGAAGTTTTTGAAAGGGAGACTGAGATTCTCCATTTCTAAGCAGAGCCTGTTCTCAGACCGTCACTGAGGAATAATGTACCAAATGATCTAGTTCCTTAGAACTGAGGCAGTAGTTTTCAAGCCTTCCTAAAAGTTCACATCCCTGGGAGATATTCCTAGCTACCAAGCCCAGGCTAGGCCAGCTCGGTGTGTAGGAGCAGGCTAGTTTGTGGGGCTTCCCAGGGGACCCTGATGTGTAGCAAGCACTTGGACCTGCTGGGTTGGACAACTTTGCACAAGGTCGGCTTCTAAACTGAGAGTCATGATTGCTCAGTCAGACCTCAGTAACCTGTGCAGTCCTACCGAGGCCAAGTCTATGATTTGCAAGAGGCTTCTTCATGAGTCTGCTCTGTTATCTTTTTAAAGGGAGGTATTTTCTCGTTGTCTTCACTCTAACCAAGTTTCTCACTCCTAGCTCCAGGACTTTGCTTGGGTTTTCATCCTCTTACTCGGTTTTAGCTGATTTCCGGGAGGTGGTACAAAGAAAAGTTTCTACGTTTTTAGTACCTAGAACAGTTTTTTTGTGTGTTCAGCAAACAGCCTAGATATTGTTATTTAACTGAATCTGTTGACTTCTGGTAATTGGTTGACTCTAGACTGTGATCAGCTAGGCCTTGGTGATATAGGGGCCTCCAAATGATATAGGGGAAAAAATGAAACTCTCAGCCTGAATGGTACTTGGGATGAGTTTGTGTTCTCTAAAGCTGAAGAATGAATTTTAGGAACAAATGGAGGTTATGAGCAGAATATATTTTTGGGAGAAAGAAAGCTCCTGTCCTAGAGAGGGACAGGAGGCTCCCCCGCTTAGCGGGTGGTCCCCAGGAAACTGTCTCTTCCAGGGACTTTTATAGAGTGAAACCCTGTGGTGAGGCGAGTCTAAGGTGGTAGAGAGCATGGGAGCTCACTTAGGTGGGCATGAGGTGGGACAAAACTATGGTCAACCACTGAGATTGCAAGCACCATTGTTCAGGTTTTGCCAAATTCCAAAAATTGATTAAACCAGAATCAAATGGGAAAATGAGTCACCTAGCAAGTGGGCATGAATGTGAAACAGGGTCTCTTCCTTTTGGGAGTTGGGTTAGTGAGTTATTTCGGCTCTTTCAAAGTGATTGATACCTATTTAGAATATCAGTCCTTGGTGCCCATTCCTAGGGAGGTATGTGTCTGCATTTGTTTACTCTTTTGTCTTTTGGTCTGGCCCACAGTGGGGAGTGTCTGTCTCTTCCAAAGTTGTAAAGTCACCTTTTCTTCCATATTGTCTCTTTGAGGGCCAGGTCCTGTCTGACTGCCTATATTTTTATCTAGTTAAGTTGCCTACAACATTGGCAGGACGTGGCTACACTTTTCATGGGCGTCCTTATTCTACAATCTGTTTTGACTAAAAGGAGATAAAAAAAATTTAAGTTTTTCTGTGCTTTCTCTGAATTAATCTAGATATAATGCTCTAGGTAGCATTTAAAGAAAGGTTTAAAAGAGAGTAAACCTTCACTGAACCCATCTCTAAATGGCATAAAATGTCCTGAATTTAAGTTGTTTGATATAGTCCCATGTGAGTATTGAGTAGGAAAAACAGGACCTTACATATATGGTATGACTTGGGTTTATTTTTATTAATAACAGATATGTGTATTATGACATATCCATCAGTGAGGCTTCAGTACCACTTGAGATATGCATATCATCCTAGAGACGATCAGTTTTTAGTGCTCCTTACTTGATACACATTACCGCAAAGCCATTATAAGTTACAGAGGAGGAATTTGGCTAAAAAGCACAATAAATCAGACTGCCCATATAAATGAACTCTTGTTATTGAACAAGAACTTAATGGTATTTATCTGGTTATTTCTATGTTAACTATAAAACATTGTGGATATACTGGCGTGCTTTTTTTTTTTTTTTTTGCGGAATCGGGGGTTGAACTCAGACCCTTGTGCTTGCCAGGGAAGCGCTTACTCTACTGAGCCATCTCCCTAGCCCCACTGGTGTGCTTTTTATTTTGGTGCAATCTTGTGTAGATTTTCAGATAGTTTTCTAAAGTCATTCTTTATTGCAGCAGGTAGTTTGATGAAAAGACTGGAAATCTATGCAAGTCTAACAAACCTCTAAGTATTTTAAATTAAACCAAATATCAATGAAGAAACTCACTGACACACATGTTTTTGAAAACCCTCTTTTTTGCAATTTTATGCTTGCTTCTGGCGGTAAAATAATTCTCTCAAATTAAGGCACCGAAAGGGCAGTGCAACTCCCACTGAAAGTATTCTAAGAATAATTTACATTTCCAACAGTGCATACATTTCTTATGTTTGTTACTTTAATGTCTTTATCACTTAAAGCCACAAAGAAATGTATTATACAATTACAGAAATGATGTATCATTCAAAATGCTTTTGAACTTGGTTCTTCTGTACAATTAGATCCTAACATCTCTAGTAGTAAAATGACTCAATATGACTTGACAAAACTGCATAGATTAGATGTAAGTTTTCTTGTCTTCTCCCATTCCATGAGGTGGGTTTATTTCTGGGCAAAGCTTACATTTATATAAATGATGCTATAAGGCATGACTATAGGTTTAGGTTAAAAGTTTCCATGTGCCATCAAGCATACTGGCCAGAGCTCACAGATGCAGCCGACTGGCAGTTGTCTTACTTTTCTCCTTGAGGTTTCAGCCCATAAATAGTTGGCTGCAAGGCAGGGTGACACGGCAGAAGGGCATTGCAGAGCAGGCAGCAGGCAGCAGACAAGCAGTGAAGCAGCCTGCCCACTCCCTGGAGTGCCTTCCAAGCTAACCAGCCCAGGTAGACCGTCCCTTTATCTGCACCACAACTACAGCAAACTAATCAGTGGACTGATTTAGTAATCACAGTCTTAATGCCAGCATCACACACCCCAGATGCAGCCACCTCTGTGAAGCCCCTCCTGTGACTGCATGAGGCTTTGGGGGACATCTATCCCTGAGCCATAAAAGCAGTGGTGTAAGATGATGTGCTGGGGACTCCAGCCAAGACCTTCCTTCTGAACTCTTCTGAACTCTGAACTTGGACAGTCACGTACCCTTCTGATATTTCCTCTTGCTGAGTAATTGACACTACAAGTCAAAGCTGAGCTTCCGTTTCTCATGTTGTTTGTGGTTATCACTGGGTTGGCAGGTGTGGGCTCCATCCTTGCAGTTGCTCAATCCAGAATACCTCAGAGTCATCCTTGACTTTCCTGTACCTCACAAGTCATACTTATTCTATGAAGAAGTTGTAGTAAGGTGTATCAAGTAAGAAGCACTTGAAAACTGATAGTCTCTAGGATGGATTCTACTTTCAGAACATTTCCAGAGTCGGTTCCCTTCTTCCCTCCACTCCTTCCTCTCTGTTTTCTCTGTTGCTGCAATGATCCTGTTTTTCTTGTGGCTGCCTCCTCAGCCTGAACCCAGTGCAGCAATGGGTGATCCTACTGAACCGTAATCCAGACTGCATCCCTCCTTACACCCTGCCTAGGCTTTTGCTTCATTCCAAAATAGTGTCTAAGTCCTTACATGGGTCAAGACTTGGCTTTGTTACTCACTGGAAATTAGCGTATCAGCCTTGGCTGTAAGTGAGTTAGAAATTCAGGATCTCAGGCCCTGCCCCAAGGTTCTGAGCCAGCTAGGATGAAGACACTAGTCCAAACTCTCTATGACCTGGTTTCTTCATTACTTCTCTGAACTCTTCTCATTAGCTGATGACCTTTTCCTGAAGCGACTCAGGCATATACTGCACATGCTCCAGCATTTTCTCGTCTTCCTTGAAATCCCTTCAGCTAACTCCTTTAATGCCCTTGAATTGTGGTTCAAACAGCTCTTTTAGTGAAGGCTCCTCCAGGAGAGTAGGGGTTTTGACACGGTGGTGGGCAGGGTGATGCAGGCAAGACATTTGCAAGAAGGGCAGGGAGATGGCTCAGTGGAATAAACGCTTCCCTGGCAAGCGCAAGGGCCTGAGTTCAATCCCCAGTTCTGCCAATTAATTAATCGGGCTGGTGAGATGGCTCAGTGGTCTAAATCACCTACTTAGAACAAGCTTAACAAAGCACA